TCTTAGCCAAAGTTAAATATTGGTAACTCACTCACTACAATAATATGACCGCTACATATTTGGTGATTCCGTCGGGAATAAACAATAATGGTACCATATCGCTACAGTAGGGCTAACCATTACCTTCTCCACATATTTGCAAAATTGTGCTTCTTACTCTGTAACCCTCTACCTCAAGTGGATCCCGGTCCTTAAGCAGGGTGAATATCATTGTTAAAAAAAAAAAAAAAAAAAAAGACGCAGTGGATTACAGGGTGTGAAAGAGAATGAGAAGACTTTAGTGGGGAGAAGTGAGGAAAGAACAATAAAGGAATAGGTTTCAGGAAAACAGAAGATGGGTACTGACATTGCATTTAAATTTTTGATGATTTTAGAAGTAGCAAGAAAGAGAGAAGGTGGAAGAGAATTTCACAGGCTAGGTGGCGCTATTTTAGGACTATAAAATAACGGAGTTAAACTACCTCTCTCTCTTTCTAAAATGTAACAGCATTAAAATTAGCCTTGTCTTTTCCCTATCCCAGGGCCGGCTGACGACTAAAAGTTTAGTCTCACACATGTAAACAGACACTTCCTAATGGCGAAACTTCAAATGGTTTTATTCTTTTCTTTTTTTTTTTATCCATGTAGGCAATAATATGCGTTCTCTCTTTCGGGAATCATATTATTCGCTATATAAAAATATGTAAAAATTATCTGCCCGCGTTGAAACTTATTCCGATATTTTGAAAATGTGTATCCATCCAACGGTGATTTTTTTCTCCTTTTATCGGCTGTAAGTTGCCGTTGTAATCAACAGGAGACATTACTTTTGGAGCTTCTGTTTACCTTTCCTGCAGCAGACATAAAAATAACGCAATCACTGCATTTATTCCTTTAGCAATAAAATAAAAAAAAAATTAAAGTACTTTTTCAAGTTAGGATTGCAAGGGAGACAACCATAAATACTTTTTATTTGGGTTGTCTCCCTTGCCATTTAAACTTTGTGTCAATTAAAACTTAAAAATGGTTTCTGTTACAATCTCTTGGATGCCAATTTATCAATTGCTTTTTCCATTATTTCCACGCATCTTGTTGCATGTAAATATAAATTTCATCATGAATTTATTTGAAACGAAATATTATCGTAAATAAATTTAGTAATCAATGAACAAATGACGAAAGTTAATTGAATTTATATATTTCCTTTAATTTATAGATCCTCGTAATATAATTGATTTTCAAATGCCTTATTTGAATAAATATATTCACGAATTAAGGTTTTAATCATACTTATTATACAACCCAGGTTGTGTGTGTGTGTGTGTGTGTGTGTGTACGTTTATATATGGGATCGGATTTCCTACATTTTTCAACCGATTTCAACAAAACTTCACAGGACTACGTAAAATTACCTTGCGGTGGTTCTGACAGCGCCAAAAATTGTAAAAACATAACTGTTTTTGCACGAAATCAATTTTAAAACACGATTAAGACGCATCGCTGTCGCCAGAATGAAAGGGGGACAATTCATATCGAGTTATACTTATTATAAAATCCAGGTTGTGTGTGTGTGTGTGTGTGTGTGTGTGTTCGTTTATATATGGGATCGGATTTCCTACATTTTTCAACCGATTTCAACAAAACTTCACTTTTTTTTGGCAGGTAGTGTTTCTTATTGTCTTGCACACTTTTTTCTTTATTTTTACATTCAGAATGTTTTAAAAATTCCATTTACAAGACAATTGTTTATAATAAAATTCTATTATGCGTCTTAATCGGGTTTTCAAATTATTTTCATGGCATCTGCTCTGACGAGCTTTTATTTTTCCTTGGTGTCCCGACTACATGAATTTAAGCATCCTACTAGATTGACATCTAGGTCCCGCCCTTTTACTGATGAAATGGCTAAATCGAACTGCCACTTCTACTCCAACAGTTTCTTTTCTCGCGCTTCCCGCCTGAGTAACTTCCTTCCATTTACTTGCTTCTCTGATAACGACAATCTTCAAAAATTTAAATGCAGCGTCAATCGCTATCTTTTGTTTTCTTGAATACCGTTCATCTTTTGCCCTTTCCTCAATCCTCCCTATACTCAGTCTTTTTTATCACTCCCTGTCACAAGGCGTAGATGTCCGTTGTGGTTTACTGGATATCGGCTTGGAGTAAGAAATCGGAGAGATGAGTTCGAGTTCCAGTCGAGTTCATTACGCACAAATGCCCTTCGGGAAGGTATAAATCCATCTTTTCTCCCCTCAGACATGGGTTGAATAGCAGGACAGACGGGGTTATTTAGCCTTGGTTGGTAACCAGTCTATCGCAAAAAGAAATGGCAATCTACTGCTGGAAAAATCTGCCTCTTCAGTTATGTTTCGAAAGATACATAATGTTACGTATGGTACTTAATTGACTGAAACCCCTGTGTGCTAGTGGCATTCGTGCTTGGAGTGAAATGATTAAAATAAATAAATAAAAATTGCAAAATAAATCTTCTCTGATTAACATTGTCCGCTGACATGAAACGGAAAGACTCTATTGAATCCATTGCTGGGCCAGCTGCAAAAAAAGTTGATTCTCTGTGTCGTACGAGGCAGCTTTTCTTTTTAGAATCTATCTTACGTATCTATAAGTTTACCATTCATTCATGCTTAGAATATTGCTTCCACATTTGGTTCGGTGCCCCTGCAATTTGCCTAGTGCTCCTTGATAAAATCCAAAGAAGAATCAGCAATATTATTAGTCCTGATCTGGCAGCTCGGCTTCAGTCACTTTCACACCTCCGTAAGGCTGCCACACTGTGTCTTTTTTTAAATTTTTTATAAATACTTTCATGGTAATTGTTCGAATGAGCTCTTCGCTATGGTAATTGTTGTTTTATTCCCCTCCCCCTACAGACAATGAATTATACATATGGGGACTAGTTAGGATTTTCATAGAGACAATGAGGTATTATGGCGAATGTAGTAAGAAAGGTAAGTAAGAATACTTTGTTTTGGTGTTAAGAATAATGTGGTATGTTTGGTTCAGTGTTTGTGGCTAGCTACGTTTAAATTTAAGAGAGAAGAAGACCGTCCTTTTCCCCATTCCCCATTTTTGGCCTTGTGCCACATTTTCTGTATTGAGGCGGAAAAAAATATCGTTCTTTGCTATGATACCTGGACTTTTTGAATTTAAGCGCAGTACTAGACTGACGTCGAGATCTCATCAATTTACAGTTGAGCTGGAAAGATGTAATCATAAATTTCATACTAACAGTTTCTCGCACGTCTTGATCGTGGAACTCACTTCCGGCTCCATGCTTTCCAGCCAATCTTAACCTGCAAAAATTTAAAGGTAATGTCAATTGCTATCGACTGTCCTCCTGATTACTCTTTTTGTTTTCGTTCATTAATAATTTTTCTGTTTCTAATTCTTCCACACCCAGTGACCCTTTCTGTCTTAGTGGCTTGCATGGGTGAAATCGATTAAAAAAAATAGGCTAAAGTTATTCTAAATGTAAAAAGCAAAGCTTTCTTAAGTTAACTACAACTCCGTAGCACTAAAAATATTCGCTCCCAGGGGAAGGACGAGATTTGAGACAACGCCCCCAGTTTTGGACAAGAGATGCACTATGTCATGACCTTTAGTAAAGAACGCCATGTTTCTTGTCTCTTGAAGGAAGATGAATCTTACGACCCAATAAAGATTCGTCAGTTTTGATAAACTTGAAAATATGTTACTTATTACTATATTGATCGTTGCTGTTTAGTCTGGCACAAGGCTACAGTAGTTGGGCACTCGTAAGGCTCCTCAGATCTACAATATCGAATTAGTCCTCGAGACACCACGTCATGGTAGGCGCCATGTCATCCAGATACTCACGTAGCAATAATTTTATCTTCTCTGGCTTCACCTTTTCCCGAATAAAGAAATGATTACTACGATAAATATTCCAAACCAATTAATGTGAATAATAATAATAATAATAATAAATAATAATAATAATAATAATAATAATATTGGTGCCTATGTAGGAAGTATGAAATTGAAGTCGATAGAAATGGTATCGTCACAAACCAGAGAAAGAGATCGAAAATGACCAAGTGAAGATTCTATTCAAACAGGCGACCAGACCAGACTAGACGAAAAAAAAAAAAAAAAAAAAAAAAAAAAAAAAACCAAAAAAAAACATCATTTATTGGAAAGGAAATCTTTTCGTAAATTAATTCAATGATTAATGAATATAATTTTTTTTTTTTTTTTTTTTATTCTATCTGTTCCACTGGGCTTTGGGTGGAAAGATAAATTATATGAGACTGTCCGCTGAAAAGGCGAAGAAACACAAAGACGACACCCGATGTGGTAAACTTAACAACTGTTTTATTCAAACTGTCATTGGATCAGTTTTACTCCGAGCATTACCCAGTTGGACAGGAAATGCTTAAATATAATAATCAAAGTATCATTTGATTTTTGATATTTTCTTTTTCAAATACAAATTTCAAATTTGAAATATGAATGTGAAAACTTCCATTAGATTTTTCGGATTAAGTTTCGCGTAGTAGTAAAAAAAAACAACTACACAGATATTATTTCTAAATTAATCAGATTTGTTGAATCATGATGAGATTCATTCATTTCCATTTTGATTTTTAAAATCGTCCAGAAAGATGTTATTACTGTTCATCAGTAACATCTTTCTGAACGAGTTTAAGAATCTGTCTTGTAAGGGGTGTAAATGCGTAAAAAGAAACATTTGAAAGTTGCCTCCCTTAGATCAGTCAGACGCGATACACGCTTAGGCGATCATGTATCTTTCGATAAATAACTGATGAGGCAGATGTTTTTTTTCGCAGTAAGTTGCCATTTCTTTCTGCGGTAGACCAGTTTCCATCCAAAAGCTATAGGATCCGGTCTGTCCTGCTACTTACCCATACCTGGGTGAAGAAGAAGAAAATTCATACTTTTCCAAGGGTATTAGTGAATGTAATGGATTTGACTGGAATTCGAACACCCAATCCGAGCCGCTGCCTCTTGAATCCTATTCACAGATTCTCGTACGAACACCAAAGTTAAGCAATGTCGAGCCTGGTCAGTACCTAGATGGTTGAACGCTTGGGAATACCACGTGCTGGTTTAATGGGTAACGGCTCGGAATTGGAAATCGAAGAGCCGTGTTCAAAGTCGAATTCGTTGTATTCACTTAAACGCAAATACACTTGTGAAAGTTATGAATCCACCTATTCTCCCCCCCCAGCTATGGGTTAATTATTGTATTGATAAATCATTATAAATCTCAAAAATAATTCTTACAATCTCAAAAAAAAAAAAAAAAATTCTGGCTTTAAATAACCTGCAAAGGGTTGATAATGCGTAAAAAATCAAATGAATCATTACCATTAATTACTTATTAATTCTTATCAGCGTTGGACAAGAGCTTGATTGCCGTGTTTGTAAAAGTGACTTGTTATACACATCACTTTCACCCTAGCTGAAACGCATCACCGATCTCATGGCCGGATCATTATAACCACTTGGACGATTTTCAGAGTTTCAGGGACATATTATATATAAATTATCCCATGTCTGAGTCAGGGTGTCCAAGAGAAATTACTAGAGTACTAATTAAAATGTTTGCAAAAATTCTAATAACACTATTGGGGAAATTGTATGACAAAGTGGAAAAAGTTTATTTGTGACGCGCTTCATCCTCCAGGACATCATCCGACTAAATTCCTTCATGCGCTTGAACGAGAGATGCTGGGTATTTTAGAATTTTTTTTTTTTATCTAGCTGAATACATTAATAGTCTTTTTTTTTCTTTTCATCACTTTTGTAAGTAGATATTCCACACTGTGATATTAGAAGATCTGTTAGGAATGATGAAATAGTGTAAGAGCCAGGGCCCAAATTTACTAAATAACACTATGAAAATCAATATGTCTGCCAATACTAGATTAAATACACGGTCTTGCTAGATCAACAAATCTGGTTTGAGATATAGTAGACCTCGAATAGTTTTTGATAAGTTTTAGTACACACAAAGCCTGCACCAGCTGCATGGCTAATACATGTAAATATTATTAAAGTAATCGAACACACATTGAAGGGTGTATCCTCGGCTTTCTGCTTCAAGATCTTGGACACTTTAATAACTGCAATACATAAAATCCTCGCAAAACAAAACAATTATACATACAGGCATATGACGAGGTGAAAATTCTGGTGTGCACTAGTTATATCATTACACTAATTCATGCATCTATGAGTCTACCCCCAGTTGCAGGTAGATACTCTTGGTATTATCATATATTTATGCAGCTAGGCCTATAATAATTAACAATAAATACTAATAAATTAATAATAATTAAATAATAAATAAATAATAAATGAAAATTAATAAAAAATAAACCCAGAATATTAATAATAAATACTAATAAATAAAAATAAATACTAATTAATTAATAATAATAATAGATAATAATAAATAATACATGAAATAAATAAACAATTAAATAATAAATATAAATAAATAAACTAAGTCTACAATAATTAATAATAAATACTAATAAATAAATAAATAATAAAATAAATTATAATAATAGATAATGGTAAATAATATATGAAATAAATAAATGAACAAATAAATAAATAAATAATAAATAATAAGAAATAATAAGAAATAGTAAGAAATAATAAATAAAATAAATAAATAATAAATAAATGATAAATAAAAATAAATAAACTTGGCTACAATAATGATAAATATTAATAAATAAATAATAAATAATAAATAAATAATAAATAAATAATAAATAAATAATAAATAAATGATAAATAAAAATAAATAAACTTGGCCTACAATAATGATAAAATATTAATAAATAAATAATAAATAAATAATAAATAAATAATAAATAAATGATAAATAAAAATAAATAAACTTATCACAATAATGATAAATATTAATAAATAAATAATAAATAAATAATAAATAATAAATAATAATAAATAAATAAATAATAAATAAAATAAATAAATAAATAAATAATAAATAATAAATAATAATAAATAATAAATAAATAATAAATAAAATAAATAAATAATAAATAAATAATAAATAATAAAATAATAAATAATAAGAAATAATAAGAAATAGTAAGAAATAATAAATAAAATAAATAAATAATAAATAAATGATAAATAAAAATAAACTTGGCCTACAATAATGATAAAAATTAATAAATAAATAATAAATAAATAATAAATAATAATAAATAATAATAATAAGTAAAATAAATAATAAATAAAAAAATAAACCAAACCTACAATAATTAATAATAAGTGCTATAAATTAATAATTAATACTAATCACTTCATTATGCTAATTCACGCAACTATGCATCTACACCGTGCTGCAGGTAAGTACTCTTGGTGTTATCATATATTTATGCAACTAAGCCTACAATAATTAATAATAAATACTAATAAAAAAACCCAAGTGTAATGTGATAAGTAAGGCGATATTTGAAATATATGAATGTAAGTGTATGTTAGGCTGGGGTTAGTAGAAAGTATTTGAACTCGAGTGGGGATGGGTGTTGCATAGTTGCTATGGGGCTCTTCTTAGATCTTTGGCCCCGGAACAAAGTACCATGCTGGACCTCATTTTTCATAGGTCCTGGTTTGAATGAGTTTTGATTTTTGTATTATGTCGGTTTCATCATTTTCAAATATAGCGTCTTCACGTCACAGTTTGTATTAAAAAGTCGATATATATGTTCTAAAATTTGATAACATTTTATAGAGGTTGAGGTGTTTGTTTTTGTGGTTATTTCATATATTTAACATCCTCATAAGTAGAAATTCAGATAGATAGATAGTTAGATAGACAGACAGACATACAGACAGACAGATAGATAGATAGATAGATAGATAGATAGATAGATAGATATGAACAGACAAACGATATTTTTTATGTAATTTTAAGAGTAATTCCATAATATTTGCTTAAGAACTAACTAGAGAGAAAGGGAGCAGACAGGCAAATAGATAGATAGATAGATAGATAGATAGATAGATAGATAATGCAGAGACCAAGATAGACAGATACATAGATATAGATAGGTAGATAAAGAGAATGGGATAGATAGATAGATAGATAGATATAGATAGATAGATAGATAGATAGATGAAGAGAATGTGATAGATACATAGAAAGAGAGAATGGGATAGATAGATAATCCTGAGCCCGAGATAGATAGATAGAAAGAAAGAAAGAAAGAAAGTAAGAAAGTAAGAAAGAAAGAAATGAACAAATCATTTCATATCATGATGCTTCAGCTTGCTCAACAATCCCTTTGCGCGAATGAGGCCGTTATCTCTAGTCTTTGCAGATATGAATCGGCCTCTCCGCAACATATATGATGTGTATCTCAGGTGTTCATGCACAATTATTTACATTGAATGCCTTGTAACCCTTTTATCTTCATAGCAACGGAGTTAATTGACTTTCAGGGTTTCTTATCAATAATCTTCTGCAGCTTTCTTACAAATTCGGGTGTTTTCATATTATTAGGATCCTTATCAGGCATTTTAGATTTGCCTTATCAGATAAATGTTACGTTGATCGGTGCGATAACGTTTTGGTTGTGTAACCAATGTATGTGTTACTTGAATAATTAGTGAGAAGTGGGCAAGCAAATTGGTAAATTTGTATTGTAACACCCAAGCGCTAATAACCCTTCAAATTTTTCCAAAATAGTCTTAATTCCGTGCAAATGTATATGCTTAACTCAAATCAACAATTAGATATTGAAGAAACCTACCTTTTTGGATGTTAACGACCAGAAATAATTGGACTTCTTCACGCTCTTCTTGTCATCCCTTACCGGCTTATTGAGAGACATTTGCTGCTGTCTCATTTCGCGCACTTATACAATTTTGGCCTATTTACTCCCTTAACAAAATTAATACGCGATTTTTTCTTTTTAATTTAAAGTTAACTTTTAACTTTCAAATGTATGAAAATAAGTGTACATTTTACTTAATTTTTTAAGAAGAAAGTTAACTTTCAAATATATGAAAATATCGACAGATAAAAGAATAACAAAGTAATTTTCAAATGTATGAAAATAAGTGATAAGTGTAGTTTTAACTTAATTTTTTAAGAAGAAAGTTAACTTTCAAATATATGAAAATATCGACAAATAAAAGAATAACAAAGTACTTTTAAATATATGAAAATATTGATGAAAATACTTATAAATTATAAATAACAAAAAGAACAAAATAAGTAGTACAGTAAAGCATTTTTTAAATATTATACATTGAAAATAAAACAATAATTAAATCAATTTTTTTTTTTTTTTAAGCATTTCACCCCAAGCAAGGCGGGAAGCCACTAGGACGCAAGGGGTTACAGAAAATAGGAAGATCAGATAGGAGTGATAGAAGAAAGGATGAGGGTAGTAGATAGATTAAGGCAACTGGAGATGTCGATTGACATTACACTTGAATAGCTGGAGATTATAACTCTCAGGGAAACAGGAGAAGGGAAGAGAGTTCCACAGGCGAGAGGTGCGAGACATGAAGCTATTAGAGTAGAAGAGACGGCTACATTTAGGAGTTTCGACAGTGAAGGGGTGAGAGCGGGATGCCAGCCTCGTAGGGCGCTTGAACTCATGAAGTTTGGGGAACCAGCGAATGCAGTTCCTCGGAGCAATTTCCATGAAAGTATTTGTAGAACAGACAGAGGAGGCGACGGTGCGTCTGTGAGAAAAGTGACTGTAGACGAGACGCCAGGGCAGGGCCAACCATATTGCATATCCGCTTCTGGAGCCTATCAAGAACCCCGAGGCAAACAGAAGGGCGCCAGACCATATATGGCAGCAATACTCCATGCAAGGGCGAATTGTGGATTTGTATATCTGGAGATCGACTCAGGGGAGAAAAACTTCCTAGCGCGGCTCAGGGAGCCAACTTTCCTCGCAGTGGACGAGGCAATTGACTCGATGTATTTATTCCATCTCAGGTCAGCAGTCAACGTGAGACCGAGAAGCCGCAGAGAGTTGCTCTCGAGAAGTTGAGCGTCAGACATTCTAATGGAGGGAAGGGATGGCTCTCTGTGGTGAT